GTCCATGAGTTGTATGTGGGTCCACGAAAATTTATCTGGTTTCGATGTAAAGAACCAAAATGGTTGCTTGATAGCCTCTTTATTTAACTTTAAATTTTTCGAGTGGTATATAGTGCTCTTGACGCACCTCTGCACTTACCGTCACTTTGTGATTTCATACGTGGGGAAGCCTTAAAAGCCACCTGCAGACTAAAAAGAACCGGATGCTGGTATGAAAATGAGTGGGGCGCGGCGAAAATTGCTGGCGGCAGAGATTTAAGCACTTGTGTATTTTCAATGCTACAGGATAGTACGCCACCATTACCTTTGTTGAAGAGATTCTATACTGTTGAGTTCTCTGAGACTGAATTCTGGTTTGATTCCATCGCTGAGACCGGACTCAATTCTTCACTTTTCTGTAGGGGAATATGCTTCGGTCTTCCAAGATAACGTAATTGCAATACTCAAAGCCAAGGACTACGTGGTGGAACATAAGTGGAGGGGAAGGAGTTTACTTGACTGCAGTGACAACCAATCTGCACTTCAGGCATTGACCAGCCCTCTATTTAAGTACTTCCAAACTAGTTCGGCAATTCAAGTCTCGACTCAGATATGATGTTGATCATAAGGGGTTCTTTTACTCTGGGTGCCACGTCACTCAGGAGTACCTGGTCATTTGGTCAGAGTTGGCTCAGACCAGGCATTCCTCGGTCCGCAACCAGTTTTAGCTCTCCCACCTTCGGTAATTGAAGCCACCATCAGATACTGGGTGAATACTTCGCTCAGCAATGACTGAAAAGCATCGAGGGGATGCAAGTGGGTAAACTCATGTTGCCTTCAATCTCACAAGGTCTATCTAATTTTTTCTCTCACTAAGCAGACGACACTGCAGACAACTTGCTGGACTGCTGACTGGTCACTTCATGTGGCACAAACTCCTGACTGTGATAGGCGTAAATGACAAGTCCATTTGCCCATCTTGCCTTGAAGAAGATGAACGGTGGAACACTTTTTGTGCTTCTTGCTTGCTTGGTTGTTTGTCATCGATTTTTTTAAACTCGTTCTTTTCTCTATTGCCAGTGTCTGCATTAAAAGTTTGGCGTAAAAAGCTTAGCCGTTTTGATGTTTTAAGTTTTGTGTTTTAAAAATGTGATAAATATTTTTCGCCTCACTTTAAAACTCGGAGCGATAAAAATAAAAATGATGCCATCAACACAAATAAACATGAGTGAGCCGAACATTTGATGAGTTTATGGTGAAGATAATGTAAATAACGCTTGCTCTCGCAGTGCTCTTAAAAAATATAACTCCTCCGAGCGAGAGAGTATTTTGATGTATTTACGAGCTCTATTTTTTTAAATCTACAAGTGCGTAATCACAAATAAAATATTTTACTTTTATTTTGGCCACTCTGAGTTTAGTTTTTGAATTCACCCGCGATGCAAATTTACATTGTTATATCTAATTTTCACATTTTATTTTTTTACGAGCTTTGAGAATATTTAGAAATGTATCAGCAGGGTGTCCACCGCAACCAGTAAATTTTTTTTGAAGGGATCTACGAGAAAAAAGTTTGGGAACCTCTGGTCTAGACAGCTTTATTTCCTGATGTATTGGGCCACTGTGAAGAGTTTTGGGAGGAGTTAGACAGGCAGATAGATAAATATTAATATAAGCTGTGTATAGTAACCTAGTGAGCTATAGTACCCTCCACTCTTCACAATTGAGGTCTTCATATAAAATGATAAAGGGATAAATTGCTTAAATTTATCGGTTTATCAGCACTCTTTTATGAACACACCTTGGTAAATAATTGCATAAAACTGTTTATTATTTAACTTATATGGCTAGTTACGTTTCATTTTTACCTCGTACATTGTGTTCATTTGCTTTTATGTGTTGGTAGCGAAAGCGACTACCTGCCAACCTGTAAGGGTTGAATTTTGCTGAAATTTATTCATTTATCCACCAAAGTCGCTAGATAAAGAGATAAACTTTGGTTAAATAGATTACCATACAAAGTTTGACAGTTCAGTTATCAAAATGATAAATTTATCACTTTATCAAATTTATCAAGAGTTAAGCACTTTTGATGAAGACGCCCAATATTTTTTTTTTTCGATAGTAGGGAGTAAAGGTGCTGAAACTGTGGCCACATGGAGCCTAGACTGCCCTCACGTCTTCTGCAGACCGCACCACACTCGATGAGAGGATGTAATAATGTCCCACTGGCACGTCGCAGAACCGGCGTACAGATGCCGTCTTAGTGTACTGTTTCCTATAAGGATATTTGTTAGTATTCTAAGGCTCTTTTTTTTGGAAGGCTAATTAGTGCGTTCCTCTCCTGTCTGCTCTCTTCCTAAAACATATTGGGACCCACTCCCAGGAAGGCCTCGACACCCCAAAAAATAATCACCAAAAACAGAAAAAAATCATTTAATTCAAATTCCCCAAAAAAAAAATAATAATTTGGAATGGCATAGTACAATACCTATTAATTTTATACTTATTTTCATACATGTTTAAGAAAATTTATTAGTTTCGGCGTTGTGCCATCTTCGGTGTCGAGAACGAAAAACGACACTGAAGATGGCACAACGCCGAAACCGGTTTGTCTCCAAACCAAATTTGACAAGGGATGACGGAAAATCGTTCCACAATACAACTAAGAATACACTAACAGACTTTAAAGTCAAATTTTCAGAAATTTCTTGACTCTCAAAATCGCTAGATATGGGCACTGGACCAAGTATACAATCCCGATTCCGCTCATGCCGAAAGCCAATTTTTAGGTCCCGGAACCCATACCAACGTTTTTTCGTCTTACTGAAATATCTGGCATTTTCAAGTAATTCTGATTCGCTTTGCTGTTCATTTTCATCTCATTAAAACACATAAAAGTGCGTACTAACCGGCTTCGTTTCCGATAGTTCTTTTTTTATCGGAAAGGTGGAACCTCAAAGGTAGTCCCATACTAATTTGGTTTGGGGCCGATTATTAAAGTCGGTTGTTTCTTTTTTTTTTTAATTACTTGTTCCATATAAGGTTTTTAGGGAAGATTTTCTGAATTTTCCGAAGATGTAGGAAAGTAGGTTTGTCCCGTCCCGCTTATGAAATCAGTACCGATATCCCGCGCTCATCTTTAGTTAGAACACAAATTTTGAGCGCAAATACACCGCCCTTGAATTACATACATCCGCCAAAATAACGTAAGCGACATTTTTTTCAAAATTTTCTTTTTGATGCAGAAATGCATCTAGATGCTCTAGGAATATTTCTGCATCAAAAAGAAAATTTTGAAAAAATGTCGTTGACGTTATTTTGGCGGTTAGGGCTCGATATGTATGATTTTCTACTATTTTGTTCTCATAATTTTGCTTTAAACTTTCCCTTATACCATTTCTTTGGACCAAAAAAATTAAAACAAACGTCCGAACGTCTTATTCCAGAATTGTTCCAGACTATAATTCACCTCGATCTGGAAGGATATTCTCGAAGAATTATCGACGTCATTTCTTTGAATGCCACAATCCTATAAAACATCCTTGCTGTTAACGAAGAAAGTGATGGAATAGTTGCTTCATCTCTGGCAAAGATCTCTGCGGGTCAACGATATGACTGTCTAACGTGCGTTCGTGCACTATTTTGATCTGCGATACCCAACGGATCGAGTATTGACGGGTGAATTTTTGAAGCCTTCCTCTGTTGGGAATTATCCACAAAAACTTGTGGTTGCGCTGTCTAAGCATGGGAAGTTGCCATCAAGGAAGCATTTGATTTTCTACACAGCAGCGTGACAGCGTCCAGGGGTGAAACGCAAATGAGCAAAGAAACTCATTAGTCCTACACAACCACTGCGCAAGATATTGATAGGAGTTTTGATTGCAACACACGCGGTTAGGTTACTTGCACGAAGTCTCTCATTTAGTCTAACAGCGTCGTAGATAGTTATTTGAAAGGGAACGAACTCTTTTTCTTAAGGCGTTCAGGCTTCGCACGACTGAGGTTTAATCATCTTGGCTTGTATTTAGCCCTATTGTAAATAATAAACTCGGTTAGCTGTCGCACCTGTTTGGAAGTGGTGTAACTTTTTTCTCTCACCTCGTATCCATCACAGAGGAGAACTCTGAGAGTAAAATTAACCTCCTTAAGAAACTTTGTTATTCTTTCTCGATGTTAGGACGACAAAAACCGTGTAAGTAAAAAATTTCAAACTTTATACAAAAATTACCAAAATTCGACAGCTTTTTAATTAGATTTTCTAGAGACACCCTAAATATGCGGCTTTGTTTGGAAGTTGTTGCTGCATACAAAAAAAATTTCGAACATAATTTGTATGGGAGAAAATACGTGAAAAAAATTGCCAAAAATCAACGATAAGTCTTTATTATATTAAAGTTAAAAAAAAAAGTCAAAAAAGTTCTATAAAATCTAATTAAACAGTTTCAAACTTTGATGAAGGAAGTGCTAAATCGGACAAAAACGACCGATGCCGGCATCGATGCCCATTAATCGGTCGAACTCTACATTTAAGGTCCTTTAAATTTGTCAGTAATATCCTAAGACCCAGGTGTTTTTTATTTTCGCGAAATATATTTCAAATCTATGAATAATACGAATTCGAATCACAATTCCACGCAAAATTGGTTAATATTTTTCAATGGATTACGCTGCTCACTATCGACTTTTCTGTCACTTTTTACTTTTGTGACAAATTGCACTTTGATTCGATGTATATATAACTCAATTCTGTAGCTCTTATTAGATCGCCCTAACTAAGTCGTATAGCTGAGCAATTATATATAGATTCTGCAGTTTAAAAAATCGGGCTCAACTGGTCTCTTGCTAGCTTTATAAGCTTTCGTTAAAAAAATAATAATAATAATCTAATTGGTTGACAATTGAAGGCTCCAGTGAATTATGAACATTAAAATCCAATTTTGAATCACTGTGTACTGGCTTCGTCGTGTAGTATGAATTATGATAAACGCACTTTGGCAGCAAAGGATGGCGAAGTCCTTGATAAGGATTTGGTTTCATTTTTCGGAATCGGTTAAAACACCATTTACAGCCCTTTTCAAGAAGGGGAGCTTGCACAATTAAATAATATATAATTAACTGGTAAATATTTGATTTAAATTACGACATCGGTATGGTACTTTTTTATTGTACAAGTTGCATGTACGTATTCCCAAATCATTTTGAAAAAATGTCTTTTATGTTACGTTGGTTAATATGGTCACCGTGCCCATGCCCCAGAATGGCTTCTTTAAAACTTATCAAGTTTTTGTATTTGTAATCCCTAAGTTTCTGCTGTCGATGGGAGCTCGGTAGTAAGAACTGTGAAGTTTATTCCGCCTTTTCCAAGTTGGATAAGGATAAGACGAAATATCGCTCCTGTCTTCAAACAAACAGTCAGCGTATTCGCGCCTTGGCACCCACGTCACTGTTAACAGTTATAATTCCGAGAAAGTAGTTGATTTGGGAACTCGCATTAACACCAATAATACAAATGTCAGCCTCGAAATCCAATGGAGAATCGCTCTTGCCAGCAAATGCTACTTTGAACTGAGTAGGCAATTGAGAAAGAAAGTCGAAGTTGCTCATCATGCCCGTGTTGGTATATCCGACATCCGATGATGCCGCGCGTGGAGTATTCGAGAGAAAGATTTTGGGGAAGATTTACGGGCCTTCGCGCGTTGGCGACGGAGTGTACCGCAGACGATGGAACTATGAGCTGAATGAGCTTTACAGCGATATAGACATTAAAATACAACAGCTCCGTTGTCCTTCGAATTTCAAACTTTTTAGAAAAATTCTAAAATATTTTACGACAACAAACTTTTTATTAAGAAAACAATAGTAAACATTAAGCAAACAAAAGAAGAGTAGCTAAAACTGGTCAAAATGTCGTGTCCCTATTATTTTGAACATGATTATATGTAAAGTATCGGTCATATATTTTTAAATTGCAATTAAAATGCAGTTCATTCTTTAACCAAATCCACATAAACCCAAGTTTAAAAATTTTTAGAAAACTGCAAAAAAAGAATAAATTTTCAACCAAAAGTTCAAAAGTTTTATTCTAAGAAGTGTGTTTTGCCAATTAAGTTGGAAAATCCTAAATAACAATACCATTCATCGGCCCATTTATGACTACTAGTTCTTCTACTTAGATCGGTACCAGACTAAAGACTTAGCCAATTGATTTTTTCTTTACAGAGTTCATGTTTAATTATGTAAATTGACCTAACTTCACCTTTTCATAGAGCGAAAATTGGTGTTGGTTCGATAACATAATTTTATAAGTGTTTTCATGTTTTCTTTGGTTGATAAGAAAGTGTTTAATATTGTTTGCAAAATATGTAGATATGTACATACATACATATGTATATGTATGTATATGTCGTATTTCTCTAAATATTTTTGCGCACCAAACTACACTTGAGTCTGCAAATATACTCTCAGACGTACGAAAAAGTATTTTGTGGTTTACAAAAATATTTACATAACATTTATTTTTAAATAAGCGTATAATTTTTTTGTTTACAAATAGTACAACAGCTGTACTATTTCGCTTGCGCATATATCTATGTATGTAAGTAAAGTCAACCAAAGAACATACTATTATGTACTTATGTACTTATTAAATAATAGCGGTATTCACGATCCGGTGCATACCGTCTAGCATGGTGCATAGATAGCATAAATAGCATGATTGTTGTTTTTTCATGTGTTCAAACAACAACAAAATAAGCCCATCTAGCACTATGCCAGACAGTATTCACCGGATCGTGAATACCTCTAATAACTTAACTTTTTTTTTAATTTGCTATAAAAGGTGCTGTAAGTTAAGGACTGCTATCAAAAGCACACAAGCATTAAAACAAAACAACTCGAAATCACGCAAAATAATTACGCAACAAAATGAGCAAACATTTGGCATTCATCTTTTTTGGACTCATTGTCCTTTCAGCGCAAAGTTAGTTGGCAGATAGAAGCAAATATTCCTTAAGAAATTCACAATTTAACCGATTTTTAACTTTCAAAATTTACAGCCAGTGTTTTTTGCCGTTTGATATCGAAAATTGGTGAGCCGCTTAGCCAGGTGCCAAAAATCGGCGATAACGGAATAACGAGTGCCGATGCTGATGCTATTGATTCCATTCAAGATGGCGTCGGCGACATTGTATCTGATAGTAATACGATTGAAACAATTTTCAATCCTATTGCCATACCGATTGATCTGCTAAAAAAACTACTTTCTATTATTTCTGGTTCTGAAGAAGGCCCTAGTTCGGATGCTCCCGCACCTGAGGAAGAAAGTACTACTGCGGATGCTACTGAAGTACCAAGTGGCCCTAGTTCGGATGCTCCCGCACCTGAGGAAGAAAGTACTACTGCGGATGCTACTGAAGTACCAAGTGGCCCTAGTTCGGATGCTCCCGCACCTGAGGAAGAAAGTACTACTGCGGATGCTACTGAAGTACCAAGTGGCCCTAGTTCGGATGCTCCCGCACCTGAGGAAGAAAGTACTACTGCGGATGCTACTGAAGTACCAAGTGGCCCTAGTTCGGATGCTCCCGCACCTGAGGAAGAAAGTACTACTGCGGATGCTACTGAAGCACCAAGTGGCCCTAGTTCGGATGCTCCCGCACCTGAGGAAGAAAGTACTACTGCGGATGCTACTGAAGTACCAAGTGGCCCTAGTTCGGATGCTCCCGCACCTGAGGAAGAAAGTACTACTGCGGATGCTACTGAAGCACCAAGTGGCCCTAGTTCGGATGCTCCCGCACCTGAGGAAGAAAGTACTACTGCGGATGCTACTGAAGTACCAAGTGGCCCTAGTTCGGATGCTCCCGCACCTGAGGAAGAAAGTACTACTGCGGATGCTACTGAAGCACCAAGTGGCCCTAGTTCGGATGCTCCCGTACCTGAGGAAGAAAGTACTACTGCGGATGCTACTGAAGCACCAAGTGGCCCTAGTTCGGATGCTCCCGCACCTGAGGAAGAAAGTACTACTGCGGATGCTACTGAAGCACCAAGTGGCCCTAGTTCGGATGCTCCCGTACCTGAGGAAGAAAGTACTACTGCGGATGCTACTGAAGCACCAAGTGGCCCTAGTTCGGATGCTCCCGCACCTGAGGAAGAAAGTACTACTGCGGATGCTACTGAAGCACCAAGTGGCCCTAGTTCGGATGCTCCCGTACCTGAGGAAGAAAGTACTACTGCGGATGCTACTGAAGCACCAAGTGGCCCTAGTTCGGATGCTCCCGCACCTGAGGAAGAAAGTACTACTGCGGATGCTACTGAAGCACCAAGTGGCCCTAGTTCGGATGCTCCCGTACCTGAGGAAGAAAGTACTACTGCGGATGCTACTGAAGTACCAAGTGGCCCTAGTTCGGATGCTCCCGCACCTGAGGAAGAAAGTACTACTGCGGATGCTACTGAAGCACCAAGTGGCCCTAGTTCGGATGCTCCCGTTTCGAATTCGCCCGAAGATGAAAGTAATGCTCCTAAACTACCAGTTGGCTCCAATTCCGATGCTCCTGTTTCCGGTTCATCTGAAGACAATTGTAATGATGATGAATCCGATGCATCTGATTTGTACTAGTTTTAATTGTTATGTATGTAAGTGTCTATTCAATAGTCATTAAAACCCCTGTACTCGGTATATGTGTACGAGTTACGTATGTATAAAGAACGCTTTAATGTGGCTCAGTCTAATAAAATGTAAATATGCAAAATCAAAAAATATATTTGAGATTCTTTTCATTCTATCTACTTGTAGTTCATTTTCAGTCGCTCTCGAACTTAATTCGATCATACCAATTCGACTAATCAGGGCTATCGCCATGATTCAATAATACAAGGTTAGATAATTATTGACAGCCGCGGTTTGACACTCCCTTACAAAAGGTTGCATTTACGAAGGACAGAAAAAGGGGAAGTATGCAATCCCTTGTTGCGAAAAGTACGCAAAGTAGGCAATTAGTAGTGAAATTCCTTTTATAAATTCTAATATTTTTGCAGGAAATCTGGCATTTTAAACGAAATATTGAACGAAATATTAATATATCTACGTGAATTACGTAATTTACGTACTATCTAGCTGTATAAAAACTGCAAAAGGACTCAAAATTAAAATAAAACTACTATTAGATTTTTGTAAACATCCAATTTAAAAACAATTTATGTTTTCATCAGTTAAATGTGCTTCATATGCATATAAAAATAAACATATTGCACAAAAGCTTATACTTCTATTTCACAGCAAAGCTAAACTTCTCCCAAGTAAATTTGCAAAGAAGCAACTCGGTGCCACTGCAAAGCGAGCGGTGCGAGAGAGACAACTGTCAGTTTATCGAACCTTGTATGATTGAAACATGGGCTATCACTAAATCTACCGTAGTCCGATTTTTCGATAAATCTACGAAAGCTATCACGTTCGTAGCAATTCGGATGCAGTAATCGTATTTTCACGAAAGCCTGACTACCATGGATTCAGCAATAGCCTAGATTATCATTTTCGGTCATCAGTGTGGTTTGCACGTTAGGTAGCTGGTCGTTCATATGATTGAAGGTTAAATTAGTGGTGACCATGGTTGCCACTCGCCAACATTTTTTTCTACCAAAATCTCTTAAGAAAAGTTACCAAATCTTCACTACCAAAATCTTCACTTCTTCACTGAGAAAAAAATATACTGAATAACACTGCTATATTTCATAAAAAATATATGTATATACTTACAGCCCGATTCTGTGCACTTCATTAAATTCAATATTTTTATAATTTGTAAATTTTTTTATTATTTATCAAGAACTCCCAGTTCTAGCACAGAAGTTTAAATCTACTTTCTTGATAAATTATCAAGATTGAAAATGCTATTGACAATTGTAATAATTTTTTTTATTAGAAAATATTTTTCTATCAATTAATTACTGCAAGTGCCGTTATTCTCATTTTCGTTGTTGGTGTTTCCGACAGGGTAGGAGTATGGTATAATGTGGAACGATTTTCCATCATCCCTTGTAAAATTTGGTTTGGAGACAACCCGATTTCGGCGTTATGCCATTTTCAGTGTAATTTTTCGTTCGGAATGTGCCGATATTTGTACCTGCGACTCACGGGATAATAGCACCGGCACACATAAAAAGTGGAGGGTGCTTTTAACCGTCCGTTTGACTCGTACAAAATTTCGAGTAAATTGCGAAAATTTCTAATTTTTTTGCTATTTTTTCGGTTTTTCATAATTTACTGCACGACGAAATATATGTCGGTGGGTGGGTCTGGTATAAAGAACGCGCATTTTTTTTGCCGGAATAATCAAAACGATTTATGGACCTTACCAAAAATTGCCATATGACCAGTTTTAAAATGTGAGAGGGTAGAATTCAAAATTTATCGCAAAAATTCGAAAGTTGTTTTAGAAGTTCAGCCCTGGCTGCTGCCACTGTAATTCAAATATTTCCAGTATTCGAATATGAGATGACTCTAATTTATTCGAAGTAATTTTGTAGAAGTGTCAGTAGTGCTGCCACTGAAACTCGAAGGGTTTTTATAATTACGCACATTCAAAATATAATTAATTTTTTTCTAGTAATGCAAATAGATGTTTAGTTGCAAAAGTTACCAAAATGAAATAAACGTTACCAAGTTACCAAACCGTTTAAAAGTTACCAGTTTTGGTAGAAAGTTACCAATTGCGGCAACCATGGTGGTGACATACCACAACGCCATAGCCATAACCATTGCCATAACCGTAACCACATTGACTATAATCGATTCGAAGTCAGCAATGTCTTTCAGTATCACTAAACCAGGGATGGAATTTCAAAATTTCAAAATGCCAAAAAGACGATGAAAGTGCCACAAAATAAAATTTCTTTTACGGCCTTTTAAGAACAATATATTTTTAGAAATAATATTTTTAAAATACTCTGAAGTAATATAATAATTATTAATTAACTAAATTATTACAACCTGTAACGCTATTATTTAAAGCAATTGCCATTCGTACTGTTATCAGGTATGTAACCTGAGAATGGAAATCGCTGCATCTTTTAGGCGCATCAATATTACATAGTTACATCCAGAGCTAATAAAAGCGAGGTAAAAAGAGGGGTATACTTTTTTTTCGATATAGAACAATTCTAAGGGGTGAGAGCAATAAAGTTTCGACTTTACTGTTTTTGGACCACCCTAATGTATATGCACTTGTAAAAGGCCAGGACACCCGGTGGTTGATTTACAACGAATAAATGCCACGTGTATTTATAAGTCATAGAATTAACAGATATAGTTAAGTTGAATGGAAACAATAAAGNTAGGGGTATACTTTTTTTCGATATAGAACCATTCTAAGGGGTGAGAGCAATAAAGTTTCGACTTTACTCTTTTTGGACCACCCTAATGTATATGCACTTGTAAAAGGCCAGGACACCCGGTGGTTGATTTACAACGAATAAATGCCACGTGTATTAATAAGTCATAGAATTAACAGATATAGTTAAGTTGAATGGAAACAATAAAGTATATTGATAAAAGATTAAATTGTATATAGTAAAAGTGCTTCTTTCAGAGTACGCCTTGCTCTCGTACGTGTGACTTCGTTCGCTGCTCGTTTAACACTCCCTTCGTTTACCGACTGTGACACACTGTTATCCCCAAATAACCTAGGATATAATTTTAAAACTTTTTAGGGGTTTCCCATAATCTGAAAAATGCCTTGAAAACTTCGAGAAACTCAAAACATTGACCAGTCAAGATTTGTATGAAATAAAAAAAACGGTTTGTTCGATAAAAAATCCGGTTTAATCGATATTCGAAAAATTAAGATTTCATAAAAAGCGCCTGTAGATATTCAAATAAACCGGTGGAAACCGGTTTGGAAAAACAAAAAAAAAAGCTGGTTCCTGCAATATTTTTGTAGAAAATTCTAAAATTCACTGTACATTTCCTAAAATTCAATTTATGCTTTCTTAAATTTAATTGATTATAATTTGGTATCCACGCGAAACTGATACGGCTGTGTAAAATTACGATGAGCAATACCACCAGCTTCGTCAGAATTGGAAAAGATCTCTCAGAACTGAACCGTTCAGAAACAATTTATTACAAGAGCGTGCAATTGCTAGCGTATGCCGATGACATCTATGTAAAGCGAATGGGTCTGGTGCTAAACGAGGACAAGACGAAGTATCTCCTGTNACCGTTCAGAAACAATTTATTACAAGAGCGTGCAATTGCTAGCGTATGGCGATGACATCTATGTAAAGCGAATGGGTCTGGTGCTAAACGAGGACAAGGCGAAGTATCTCCTGTCATCAAACAAAAATTCAGCTCACTCGCGCCTTGGCACACACGTCATTGTTGACAGTTATACTTTCGAGAAAGTAGATAATTTCGTTTACTTGGGAACCAGCATTAACACCAATAACACAAATGTCAGCATGGAAATCCAACGCAGAATCACTATTTCCAACAAGTGCTGCTTTGGACTGTGTACGTAATTCAAAAGTAAAGTCCTCTCTCCACGTACGAAAACCACACTCCATAAGTCACGCTGTCATACAAACTCAATGCGAGTAAATTTCGATACTTTTCTCGCGGGTCTTCTCCAATATTTGGTATATTGTGAATACCTGATCGATGATGGATTTCCAGGTCTAAAACCACAATGATATAAGGCCCAATCAGTTCATTGAAACAATACGCTTGATAAGACCTTATTTCCTATGCTTAGAAGGCTGATCCCGTGGTAGTTGGCGCGAATGGCTTTCTTGTGTGTGATGGATGCGTTCATCTGACCATATTATAAGTAATGATGCATGCACCCTATCAACACCTCGCCGCCGTACTTGAATAGCTCAGCTGGCAGGCTATCAGCTCCTGCAGCTTTGTTGTTTTTCGAGCTCGCTATTTATATTCGTACCTCGTCATAGTCAGGTGGCGGAACATCGACTCCATCATCATCGACTGGGGGCTCAGGCTCGTCTTCTCCATGAGTTTCTGTGCTGCTACCACCCAATAGGGTGAAGTATTCCCTATATAATTTAAGTACGTTCTGGACATCGGTCCTCGCCCTGGTACTTCCGTAAGTCGTCTAACTCTCTGGTAAAATTTTCGGGCGTTCTTCCTGTCGGCCAGCATCGCACTCACGGTTTCGGCCTCTCTCTTTTTATTGCGGCAAATACGTTTCGCTTCGTTCCCCATAACGGTCCTGCATGGCTCGCGTTGCGGCCGATCGTAGGCGGCGTATTTTTTCTCTGCAGGTTCTTTACACCCCTCATCGAACCAGTTGTTCTTTCGGGCTCGATGAAATCCGACTACTTCTTGTGCGGCGGTACTAAATAAGCGAGAAATGTGGTTCGACTGCTCGCATATGTCGGTTTGTTGACGAATGCTCTCTGAGAGCAGGAGTGAGAGTCGAGTAGCGAATGCACGTTTTCGCGTTAAGCTTTCCTTGCATTTTTGGGCACACACTTTTTGCTGCACAAAGGCGGTTGCGTATCTTGGCTGCAAGAAGAAAGTGGTCCGAGTCGATGTTTGGACCTCGGAGTGTACGTACGTCTAAAACACTGGAAAGATGCCATCCGCCTATCACAAAATGA